TCTATCTATCGGTCTATCTATCTATCGGTCTATCCATCTATCTGTATTTACTGAACAGGGCTTTCAAAAGTTTTGCATACTGTTTCACACACACACGCACGCACGCGCACACACACACACACACACACACACATATATATTAATTATATCATATATATTACATATATATAATGAAGAGACTTCATTCACAGCAGTTCAAAAGTTTGAGATCATTAACATTTTTAATGTTTTTAACACTCACATTTGAATGTAGGAGCTACAGCATATATGTTTTCATATACACATTTACATTGACATTTATTCATTTAGCAGACGTTTTTATCTAAAGCATCTAATTAATAAGGAACATGAGAAATTTGATATATGCATATATCATAATGATATTCTGCTATATGACTTAATGAGCACATAAACGAAAAGATTACACTTTAACGATGCTTTGTGTGCTTTATGAAGCATCAGTCACTGTTATTCATAATTGTATGGAAAACAGTCAAACTTTGTATTTACTGGAAGCTAGAAAGAAATGACATGATATAGAGCGAATGATGACAGAATGATCATGTTTGGCTGAACTAATCCTTTAAGAAAACTAATGTACTTTAACTAATATCCAGTGCAAACTCAATGAGAATATGAATATCTGATGTTATGAAGAAGCTGCTTTCACTTCCTCATTTGCGGTGTGTCATCATTTAATATATTACATTATCTTCCCCTTTAGATGTTTATTTTCTCACGTCTGACCTAATTAAAGCCAGTTAACGATCCTCACTAGTCAAACTGTTACTCATAATAATCCAGAGAACAAGAGCAGACGAGATTCCTGCAAAAACACAAACGTGTTTCAAAATGCACACACACACACACACACACACACATATATATTAATTATATCATATATATTACATATATATAATGAAGAGACTTCATTCACAGCAGTTCAAAAGTTTGAGATCATTAACATTTTTAATGTTTTTAACACTCACATTTGAATGTAGGAGCTACAGCATATATGTTTTCATATACACATTTACATTGACATTTATTCATTTAGCAGACGTTTTTATCTAAAGCATCTAATTAATAAGGAACATGAGAAATTTGATATATGCATATATCATAATGATATTCTGCTATATGACTTAATGAGCACATAAACGAAAAGATTACACTTTAACGATGCTTTGTGTGCTTTATGAAGCATCAGTCACTGTTATTCATAATTGTATGGAAAACAGTCAAACTTTGTATTTACTGGAAGCTAGAAAGAAATGACATGATATAGAGCGAATGATGACAGAATGATCATGTTTGGCTGAACTAATCCTTTAAGAAAACTAATGTACTTTAACTAATATCCAGTGCAAACTCAATGAGAATATGAATATCTGATGTTATGAAGAAGCTGCTTTCACTTCCTCATTTGCGGTGTGTCATCATTTAATATATTACATTATCTTCCCCTTTAGATGTTTATTTTCTCACGTCTGACCTAATTAAAGCCAGTTAACGATCCTCACTAGTCAAACTGTTACTCATAATAATCCAGAGAACAAGAGCAGACGAGATTCCTGCAAAAACACAAACGTGTTTCAAAATGCAAATTGACATTCAAAGCATGCACAGGTTCGGTTTTATGGCCGGTTCTGTCATAAATCACTGAGATGATGAGCACATGCTCTGATCGTGAATACAGGTTTGCTGCGTGCTGTGTTTTTGGAAACGGTATGAGAAACAGCAGAATATGCAGCGATAAACCTGTAAAAAGCTACACTGTGACTTGCATTACATTTCACATATTTAGCAGCGAGTGGCATCCAGTTGTTTTCAGAAATAAGCAGTTTAAAAAAAAAAATTTTTTATTGCAATTTTGTTTTCAAATGTCCTATATATATATATAGCTGGTAAGAGATTAAAATTTTTAATCTAATTAATTACATGATGTGGCGATTAATTAATCGCAAATTAATCGCACATCAAATTTGGCTGAGAAATGACTCCCAAAAGATAATTTAAAGTCATTCTCTCTTCTCTCTCACACACGTCTCATTCACTCCGGTTAAATAGTGCTTGTATTGCGCATTATTTTAGTCATTCCCGCAGGTTTCGCGCTTACACCAAACGCGCGGCGCACCACCACTGATCTATATTAGTGGAGCACACAAGCCGCACTCAGTCTCGAACAGCTTGTGAGCCACAAATACCAAAATGAGTGGCTAACTGCGCTAAAACGTAACAGTATATTGGGTCTGTGGATAAACTCTTAAAGGGACCGCAGCCCAATATTCCTGCTGCTGTCTGTCATATTAATCAAAGAACAAAAGACTTGACTGAATACGTTTTATAACTTTACACTGGATGTTATTTTACATTTGATTACTTTAATTTCTGTAGTATTTCTTAACTGAATAAAAACGTACTTCAAGGCACAATATGTAAGATTTTTTTATTAAAATATCCAAAAACCACTAGAACAGTGTTATATATTTTGCTGACTTGTGTACTTACATTATCCCAAATGTTTCGAAGAATGTTTAAATCCAGAGAAATAAGCAATTTTAACTAGTGACACGGACCGTGTCCATAGTGTCATTGTGTCGCCTGCCAATG